GTGTAGGAGAAAGTCATTTTGCTAAGGGGAGTAGCCAGCCACCCAGCATAAGAGCAACGCTGGATATTATACACCCTTCGCCCTCCCCCAACCCTTTCCCTTGGTGAGTCACCACGAATGTTTGCACATTAAAGCCTCTGAGAAATTGTGCAATAAATGAATTTGTTTCATTTTGTTTAATTAGTGTTTCTCAAACTTATTTGAGAACAAACATTTTTCTCATGGCGTACAGTGTACCATGAGACACCAGTTTAGGAAATAATGGTTTAATACTCAACTTAGAGAATGATTATGGGTAAACAATCATTTAAAAGATAATTACCACCGTTTGACTTCACTTTTACACAAGACATATGCTATGATGTTTTTGAGTTGGGGTTTTCCCAAAGGTTTTGAGACTTATCTTGCACAAGAATACCTTCAAATCATTGGCAGATGTGATACTTTCCTTTCTTCATTTCCCATTTTTGTGCCATTTGTTTTCCTTGCTGCATAACCATTTTAGCAATTTTATAGTCTGCCGTTTTATTTTACTTTATTTGTTCATTAAACAAACACATCTGTAGTGCTTGCTGTATACTGTTCTAAGTACTCTATTAATAACGATTCATGTAACCTAAAACAACCCCATGAATTAGGTGCCATTCTAATTATTCCTATTTTACAGCTCAGAAAACTGGTTTCAAATGGTGACAAGGCATTCTTGCCTAGATCCTACTTTTTAAGGAAACCATCACAAATATTTTCCTTCAGTCATATTATTGACTCTAATTATAAACATAAACATATTATGTAAAAGAAGAAAACATTCTTTTTCATTTGTTTTTAATGTGCCTTTAATCAACATTAAATATTGAAAGGTACCGATTACCTTTCTTAGCTTCCGTTGAGATAATTACGTTTTCTACCATTTTTCTGTCAATGATAATAAGGTATTATGCTACCTTTGTTTTACTTGCTTATAACAGGTCATTTGTTTCAATGTGTTGCTGTGTTTTGTGGGTTAGGATTAAGATTTTATTTCTAAGCTCAAAAATGAATTGAATGACAATTCCCTTCTTTACGGATGGAGGGTGATGCAAATCGTATTTTCCTCAGCCAACTCAACGTGTAAATATCAATGCAGTGGCTACCCTGCTACTCTGCACTGGACACTGTAGAACATGGAAGATTCCAGATGAGCTTAGTATGAGTAAGAGCTGTGGAAAGGGATGTGGACCTTCTACGGCCACACAGGAAAAAGGATGATGTTCGAGAAGACAGTGATTTTGAGAACTTTGTAAATGCCCCAAATCTGTACAACTGGACACTTGTTTTCTATTACTCCATTGCGGTTTCCCCCAAAGACCTAAGATATTACTGAACTAGAAGTGGCCCCAGATCAACTGAGTGAACACAGGGGACTGACGTTAGCTCTGTATTTATTTATTCATGAGTTAACCCTTATAAGGACAGACCCTACGTCCATCTTATGGGTGGCTATCTGCCCACCATGTACCCAAGTGCCCGGCATATGGTGAGTGCTCAATAACTAATGATTAAAAGAAGAAATGATGGGGCTTCCCTGGTGGCGCAGTGGTTGAGAGTCTGCCTGCCGACGCAGGGGACATGGGTTTGTGCCCCGGTCCGGGAGGATCCCACGTGCCGCGGAGCGGCTGGGCCCGTGAGATATGGCCACTGAGCCTGCGCCTGCGCGTCGGGAGCCTGTGCTCCGCAGCAGGAGAGGCCACAGCAGTGAGAGGCCCGCGTACCACAGAAAAAAAAAAAAGAAGAAGAAATGAGGGCTTCCCTGGTGGCACAGTTGTTGAGAATCCGCCTGCCAGTGCAGGGGACACGGGTTCGAGCCCTGGTCTGGGAGGATCCCACATGCTGCGGAGCAGCTGGGCCCGTGCGCCACAACTACTGAGCCCACACACTCCGGGGCCCGTGCTCTGCAACAAGAGAGGCTGCCGCAATGAGAGGCCCGCGCACCACAACAAAGAGTGGCCCCTGCTCAAAGAGTGACCCCTGCTCGCTGCAACTAGAGAAAGCCTATGCGCAGCAACGAAGACCCAAAGCAGCCAAAAATAAAAATAAAAATAAAATAATAATAATAAATAAATAAAAGAAGAAATGAACCAGCTCTTTGACCAAACCAACTAGTCAAGCTGGTTTTTAAAATGCAGGGCAGCTAGAGACTTGTTCCATGGGTCACCAAGAAAAGAGGTTTTGCAAAGACTTTACCCTCATCTGAAGTCAGTCTGGGGCGGGAGGGAGCAGGAAGCCTGGAGAGATGGAAACAGGGCAGCAGAGTCCCTGGGCCTGGAGAAAGAGTCAGAACCACAAGGTTTTTCTGGCAACTTTCACTCCCTGAGAGACACATCTGTCTCTACAGCCCCAGGTACCCCACCTGGAACTGGCAGTCAGCACTTTGCATCCCAAAAGCTCTCAGAGCTCATGGGGTCAGGACTTAAGGACAATTAAAGAACCCAGAAAAGTTCTCACCTCCTATAATTATCCCTGACAAGCGCTGAGCCAGTCTCATCACCTGGTACCTAGTGACCAAAATACATTCAGACCCAGGGAAACAGATGCTGTATATGGACTGAATAGATAGATCCCATCAAGTGAGCAAACTTGTCTCATGCACTTCTCTTTTTTCTTTCCATCTTCATTCGTATCTTTATTGCCTCCCCCAGTTTCTCTCCCACTCTCCACTCGGTTCCTTTCTCCATTCCAAGCCCTCCCTCCTATCCCATTTGGGTCTGATGCCCTTAAGTCTCCCTTCCTCCATCTCAGAGGCCAGATTCATGCTTTTGCCCCTGCTCCAGTGTCTCCCTCTGGGCCCTTTTGCCCACTCTCCCTGCCTGCTCCTCTGCCCCTGCCCCTGTCCTGGCCTGTCTACCCCTCTGACCCCTTCTTCCCCTTTGTCCCATCACTAGGATCCTGTGGGTGTGGATTCTGTGACAGCTTCGTTCTCTTCTCTGTCATCTTGGTGGGGTCCATAGCCAGCTCTCCTGTTGCTCAGAGATGTGGAGGCAGTTGCTAAGAGACAGTGAAACGTCAGTACCTGGCCCTCGAGGAAAGAAAGGGAGCGAAAAAGGGAGAGAGGAGGGGAGAGAGGGAGGGAAAGGGGAGGGAGGGGAGGACCTGGCAGAAGCCACATACCCCAGCAGCCTCAGCACTAGCTGAGTTTCGGGAAGAAGCATTCGGATTCTGTGAACTTTCTTCTAAGCATCCTCTCTCTGATTCCCCTTTTGAGTAAAAGAAAGGAAACGGCACGGGGACCACAGGACGGGAGACCACAGAGGATGCTGCCCAGGGATCCCGGAGCCATGGAGGAGAGGCCGGGGGAGGGGACAGGCCTGTGAGGCAATCTCTTCTGAAGCAGCCAGCGAGTGGGGATTCCAGGATGAGGGAGGGAGACCCGTGTCTGCTGCAGACTGATGGCTGTGTCCTTGGAACAGAGTAAGTGGGCTCCTGAGGGCCTGTGGGAGTGCACGGGGAGACCTTGGGGCTGAGAAAAATGAGTCTGGTTAAGGGGAGCTGGGGTGATTTCCCAGTGGGTGGGATTGAGGCTGGAAGCGGTGAGAAGAGAGGCAGTGCCGGACGAGGGGGTGAGGGGAGGACGAGTGAGGACGGCAAGTGGGCACAAGAGAAATGAGGGGCCACGGCGGGTGCAGGGTGGGTAGCGAGCTGAGACACTGGGTGTGTCATCACGCTCAGCCTCTCTGCCTGACCCAGTGTGGGTGTGGGCTCCCACTGCGGGGCAGAGGGGAGAGTGGAGTGTTTGTGGGAAAGGATGCTGGGATTAGGGCTGTGCACTGGGGGGTGAAAGATGGTGGGGGCTGACTGGGAAGGAGGATCTGCAGGTATGTGTATGCAGAAGGAAGCGGGAGAGAAAACTGGGGAGGTGTGAGGGCCGGGCACAATATGGGGGAGTCACAGGACAAGAACAATGCTCGTGTGTGTGTGTGTGTGGCGGGGGTGGGGGGTGGAGATGGGAGTGCTGCGTGTGGAAAGGGGGTGTGCAAACGGCCAGTGTGTGTATGCATTTTTTCTTAGAGAGTTATTAGAAGGTGGGGTGTTTGGTGCCGATGTGGGTGGGGCTAGGAGAAGGTCGGGGGCGGGGAAGGTTAGTGGGTGACAACAATATGAGAGCGGGGTCTGTCCCCATACTTGAGAGACAGTAAGCAGAGAACTTTGTGGTTGGTGGCCAGGAAGGCGGCCAGGGGAGGCAGCAAGGAACCTAGGAGGACAGCAGGGAGGACAGCGCACCGGTTCGCTCCGCCTGAGTGCTTTCCTTGTTGACAGAGGGAATTCGGCTTCCGCCCACTGAACACGGAGCCCGGCTTGGGAAGTCCATCCCCTGAGCTCTCCTAGCCGACCCTCATCCTGCACGTCCGGGACACATGGCTCTTTCCAGCCGCAGTGGCCGACAGTGGGGCTCCTCCCTTCCCTGAGGATTTCAGTAGACACTGAGGCTGAGTACTGAGGCTTTCAGAGGCCCATGGAGACCCCCTCCCCTCCGGGTTCCCTTCCCAAAACGCCCACTCCAGGACCCTCTTGGACTCGAGCCCACTGGGCCACCAGTAAAAATGGCCTCTGAGACCTTGAATGCAGGAGATTCAAAAGCAGCCCTGGCCTCCTAATGGGTCCCAGACTTGGGACAGGGCTTGGGGGTTTGCAGACGTGCCAGGACCTTTAAAAGGCACCTTTCCTGTCCTCCAGTCCCCCTCCCACCTCTCAGACACAGTCCAGAGAGGAGCACCCAGCAGTCATGGGTGAGAGGGACATAAAAGACCTGCAGGGACCCTTCCCCGACCTGCTGGCAGCTGGTCCAGGCCCATCCTTGGGTCATTCCTTTCTCAAGCTTTGATCATCTTTTCAGACCCTGGGGGACCTCAGCTGGGTGTATGGCCCCCTAGGCTCCAAAGGAGACTTCCTGTGGAGCTCACACAGGGAGCCCTCTGGTGCTTAGAGGCTCCTGGGAAAGGCTGGAGCCATGATACCACGTGCTGCCGAGCCCCACCTGCCAGGGCTCCGGCCCCTGATGCAGCTGCCTTTCTGAGCCACTGACTCTTGATTCCATGGACACAGCCCCAGCCCCGATGGGCTCCCTTCAGCACCGCTCTTGCCAGCAGCCTAAGATGGGTGACACCTGGTCCCAGCTGCCCTGGCCTGGGCCCCCCCGCCCGGCCATGCTGCTGGTCTCCCTCATCTTGGCCGCAGGGGTGATGCCCTCGGATGCCGGCACCAGCTGCCCGGTCCTTTGCACGTGCCATAACCAGGTGGTGGACTGCAGCAGCCAGCGGCTCTTCTCCGTGCCCCCGGACCTGCCGAGGGACACTCGCAACCTCAGCCTGGCCCACAACCGCATCGCCGCCGTGCCATCCGGCTACCTCACGTGCTACATAGAGCTCCGGGTGCTGGATTTGCGCAACAACTCCTTGGTCGAGCTGCCCGCGGGCCTCTTCCTGCACGCCAAGCGCCTGGCACACCTAGACCTGAGCCACAACAACCTCAGCCACGTGCCGGCCGACATGTTCCAGGCCGCCCACGGCCTCGTGCACATCGACCTGAGCCACAACCCGGGGCTGCGGAGGGTGCACCCGCGGGCCTTCCAGGGCCTGGCGCAGCTCCGGGACCTGGACCTCAGCTATGGGGGCCTGGCCTTCCTCAGCCTCGAGGCTCTCGAGGGCCTGCCGGGGCTGGTGACCCTGCAGATCGGCGGCAACCCCTGGGTGTGCGGCTGCACCATGGAGCCCCTGCTGAAGTGGCTGCGGAACCGCATCCAGCGCTGCACGGCGGGTAAGGGAGGGAGCCCGGCCCCCGCGGACAGCAAAGGCTCCGCGGGAGAGGGAGGGACTTAGAGCCCCTGCGCGCCTGCTGAGGGCCGGACCGGGCTCGCCTCCTCGTGCACTGGTCTTGCACTGCCCAAGCCTTTGCCGAGTCCTTGCTGTGCGTGCCCGGTGCGGGGGACCCGGCATTAATGAAACAGACGCCACCCTCGCCCCTGTGGCCCTGATGACCTAATGAGGCAGACAGAGAGCAAACAAGTAAGAACAGCTCATTAATAATAGACAGTGTTTATTGAGCGTCCACCATGACCTTCCAACTTGGCAGGTGTTATCTCATTGGACCCCACTCTTATTATCCCCATTTTACAGGTGAAGACACTGAGGTTTAGAACAATGAAAAGACTTGGCCAGAGTCACTCATTTAGAAAGTGGCAGAGCTGTGGATAAAACCCAGGTTTATTTGACTTCTAAGCTCTGTTCTACTCTACCAGATTGCTTTTTAAGTGTGCTAAGTACTACAAGAAATAGAAATGGTTCACCCCATTTATTTTAGTACTTACTATCTGCCAGGCCCTATTCTAAATATATTACATGTTTTAGCTCATCTCATCCTCACAAGAACCCTAGTGATACACCACACACACACACACACACACACACACACACACACACACACAGAGGAGGAAACTAAGCCACAGAGAGGCTCAGTAACTTGCCCAATGTCCTACAGCCCTTAAGCGTTGGAGTCAGGATTCGAACCCTGGCAGCCTGGCTGCCCTCTGGCTGTATCCTGATGAGTCGGGTTCTAGGCTACCAGGAGTAGGCAGGAATTGAGTTCTGGGCTGGCCAAAAGGCCTTGGCAGAATTCTGCAAGGTTTGGGCATGGAGTGTAGATCTGAGAAGAGAAACTCTTATGTGGCTATTTAACGAGCCAGCCTCTACTGGGAATGGACTGGGGACTGAAGGAGCCTGAATCCCACAGGCTCAATGAGCCTGCAGGCAGGCAGTGTTGAGCTGTGGTCCCCAGTCACCAGCTCTCCTGTGTGGCAGCACCGAACCTCTGCAGTAGGGCTAGCTGGGGGGCACCACCCAGGGGCTTTCCCAGAGCCTGAGCTCAGAGCGAGTTCAGAAGCAGCGGTGCTGGGTGAGGTGGGAGGGAGAGGAAGACTGAGTGGGGAGCCCAGGATCAAAATAGTTTGCGGGGGGCTGTGGGTCACGATTCCAGTGTTCCCACAGAACTGCGGAAGGAAGCTCTCTGGGACCAAAATAGCTGGGGACCGAGATGGGCTGAGGGGAGGGCGCATGAGGGGAAGGCTGGCTGCCTGGAGCAATCTCCCCACTAGCCTAACCTCTGCAGGTTGCACCTCATCCCCTCTCTCTTGTGCACTAAGGACAGAAAGGGCCCGCAGGGTTCCTCCACACACAGGGGCTGCTGCTCTTCTGGGATCGCGGAGGTCCCTGCCGCCCTTCGGAAGAAGCCCGGGCTCCCAGTGAGCAGGAGACGGGTCCAAGATCCCATCAGTGAAGTCTCATGTCCGTACGGATGAGGGACCCAAGTTCCAGAGAGGGAAAGTGACTGGCCACAGGCCACAGCTAGAGACGCAGCTTCCCTGTTCCTCCACAGAACACACTTTGCACCATGACACACTCTCCAGGATATTTCGTCTTGGAGGCAAAGAACTTGCCAGTCCAGGTAGGACTAGGTGACACTCTTCCCTTTGTCTTTTTCTGCTTCTTCCTCCCTTTTTCTTCATGGGATTCCCATTACTATCCCTATCTTTTGGACAAATCCCAACACAGAGAAACACAGGGAGACCTTGGGATATAAATCAACTTCGAGACTGGTCCCTTGACTTACCAGAGGGCTTCGTCAGCCCCCGGGCTCCCATCCTGCCCTCCTGCAGACTCTGTCAATTGCCCCCAGGGTCCCCACATCCCCCAGCCTCGCAATGCATCACCACCACCCCCTTCATTCACTCAATAGACTTTGGGATTCAGCATCTTCTGGTTCTGGAGGTTCAACTCCAGGTGCCATCTTGTCCTGGCTGGAGTCTGGGGTATGATGCATACAGCCTACAGAGACTCTTCAGTCTGGGGTTTGGGGAAGGTTGCATCCTCCCTCTGAACCTGACTCTCCATTTCTAAGGAGAATCATGCTCATCCGTTTCTCAAAAGAGTCAATCCAAGTCCATCATTTTATTCTTTTCCTCAAAGACTGCAGAATGAATAAACACCATTTATGCACCACATAATTTAAAAAGCTCCTTCACATTGACTTTCTTAGATGATTGAGACTAAATTATCCCCTTCTTACATTTCCCATTTCTTCATAAGAACCAGAAAAGCAAGAAAGACTTGCCCAAGGAGAGAGTTGGATTAATATTTATCCACTGAACGAAGGAGTGGCCGGCTGCTGGAAAGCCAGTGCCTGGCACTGTGAGGCAGAACTGCTATCTGCCTGCCGCTCTCCTTTCCAAGGCAGAGAAAGATGCAGCCGTTGACAGCCACCATGCATTTGTACCAGTGACCCTGGAAGGATGAGCTGGGGCCATCGGTGATGGCGATAACAGCAATCCCACTGAATGAGAAGCCCCTCCTATAGAAGTCTGTGTGCAGAATATGACCCCACTGACCTGTCCAGAAAGACCAACCTAGGATGACAATAAAAACACGCACCTGTGTAGTACTTACTGTGTACCAAGAATATATCATTTATGTATGTTAATTCATAGAATCCTCACTACAATCCTATGACATAGTTACTTTTATTATCCTTATTTTATAGACAAAGAAACCACAACACAGAGGTATTAAATAACTTAGGCATAATCATACAGCTAGGGAGGGATAGAGAGGGGATTTGAACCCAGGCCAATAGCTCCAGAGCCCAAACTCTTAACCCTACACTCTGTGTATCTGGAAAAGCCACATGGGGTAGTAGAAAGACCCCATGCTTTGGAGCTGGACAGAGTCATTCATTCACATATTCAATTAACAAAGGTTAATTGAGCATTTAATGGGCAGGCCTCTGTTCTAATGCTAAGGATACTACAGGAAGAACTTATATTCAAAGGGAGAAAACAGATAATAAACAAACTGTGAGACAGTGATAAATACAATGGGGAAAAAATAAGCAAAGTAGGTAAGAGAGAGAAGGCTCAGAGAAAAGTGAAGTGGGGTTGCTGTTTTATATAGAATCCTAAAGGAAGGCCTCACTGAGACGTTGATATTCGAGCAAAGTCCCAGAGGAGGTGAGGGCCTGAGCTGTGCAGAGATCCAGGGGAGAAGCACCCTCACGAGGGGACAGTTGCAAAGGCTCCCCCTCCCCACGCTGAAAGGGGACATGCTCGGGGTGATGGAAGAATGACCAGGAGGTGTGCGTGGATGGACCCGAGTAAACCAGGAAGAGAGTGGAAGGGATGGGGAGGTTCTTCTGGGAATGAGAAGAAGCAGGGGAAGGTTTCAAGCACGCGGTGACATGGCAGGGCTTCAGGCTTAAAAGGATCACTCAGCCAGCTGTGTCACGGTGGATTAAGGGCAGAAGCCTAGAAATCAGGTGGGAGGCTATTGTAAGAGACCACAATGATGATGAAATCCCACAGAAGTCCCAGATCTGCCGTTAGCAGGGGCTATGGGACTTGAGGCAAGTTTCTAAAGTCTCCGAGCAGTGATCTCCACCTCTTTAAAAACATATATAGGGGCCTCCCTGGTGGCACAGTGGTTGAGAGTCCGCCTGCCGGTGCAGGGGACACGGCTTCGTGCCCCGGTCCGGGAAGATCCCACATGCCGTAGAGCGGCTGGGCCCCCATGCCATGGCCGCTGAGCCTGTGCTTCTGGAGCCTGTGCTCCGCAACGGGAGAGGCCACAACAGTGAGAGGCAAAACAAAAAACAAAAAACAAAAAAAACATATATAAGGCTCAAGAGGGAGGGGATAAGAGGACATATGTACGCATATGGCTGATTCGCTTTGTTGTGCAACGGAAACTAACACACTATTGTGAAGCAATTATACTCCAATAGAGATCTATTAAAAAAATTAAAAAAAAAAAACTTGCCTTGAGGGTTGTTGAGGACACTAAAGAAGGTGAGTGAAACTTTTGGCACATGGAAGACACTTCATAAAAAGCCAGCTTCTCCTGGGAGGGGCAGGGGCTCCCTCTTCCTGCTCTCCCCTAAGCCACTCACCCTCCCTGGCTTCTCTGTTGCAGATTCTCAGCTGGCTGAGTGCCGGGGCCCCCCAGAAGTCGAGGGCGCCCCACTGTTCTCCCTGACCGAGGAGAGCTTCAAGGCCTGCCACTTGACCCTGACGCTGGATGATTACCTCTTCATCGCCTTCGTGGGTTTCGTGGTCTCCATCGCATCCGTGGCCACCAACTTCCTCCTGGGCATCACGGCCAACTGCTGCCACCGCTGGAGCAAGGCCAGCGACGAGGAGGAGATATGACCCGGGTACCTCCACGCCGCCCACCATCACTGCCGCTGACCACCGGGCACCCTCCCTGGCTGCCCACTCTGGCTCTGCCCCGGCCAGAGTGGGCAGCCAGCTCATGGCTCAAGCAAGGTCAGGAAACTACCTTTGTGTGAGCTTCTACGGTGGGCCAGACACTGTGCTAGCAAGTGGGACCGACCTAGACCTTGCCCCTCAAGGCACTTACCTCTGATAGAGGAGAGAGAGTCGAAAACTCTTCCCTTTAAGACCTTTTATCAGCACACTGAGTACATAGTTATGGAAGCCCAGAGAAGGGGTCATCGGCTGTGTCTAGAAAAGCCCAAGAGAATTCCAAGAATGGAGGTGATTTTTGATGACCCAGGTGAACTGGGTCATCAAAAAATTGTCTGCTTTGTCCATAGACAAAGAAGGGCAGACAGAAGCCAATGACAGAGGCCAGAGTATGCCTGGTGTGTTGAGAACAGTGAACAATCCCTGTGACTTCAATGTACAGAGCGGAAGTGACACAGGACCAAAACTGTCCCCCTGACACCCAATCTGTCAGCTCTCGGCGTTGCCCATCACTGCCTCTGAGGGCGAGAACACCTCCATGCCAGCCCCCTGAGCCTCCTCCTACCAGCAGCTGCCAGGTGAGACCACCTCCCATTGACTGCCCTCTCCCCAACCTATGTGGCCAATTGTAGCATGCTGGCGAGGTCCAGGTAGCAAACTGAGGATGGACACCTTCAGTGCTCTTTCTCCTACCCCTGTCTCCTGCCTCTCACTCGAGCGTGGGCTTCAGAAGAGGGAAGCAGGAGTCCTGGCACCCTGAGACTCCTAATCTTGTGACTGTTCTTGCCACGGTGCTCATGCCAAGGGATCTCGACAGGGCAGCGCACCGTGGGCTGCAGCCCTGTAGCATGATACCCAGGACGGAAGGAGGAGAAGGCCGCCACAGTCGTAACCATCAGAGGATTTGCTCCCCCTTCTAAGCAACTCACCCACTTCAGCATAAGGGTGAGAGAGCTGTTAATTACCCAGCACTTGCTGGTGTCAGGCACTGTGATAAGCTCTCTCCAGACACAATTCCCTTTAATGCACACAACAACCTCTTGAGGTGAGCATTGTTGTCCCCATTTTACAGATGAAGAAATTAAGGCTCAGAGAGGTTAAGTCACATGCTACTTAACGAGCAAAATAAAATCTGTGCTCTTCCTACTACCCCATTCAAGTTGGGGAACATCACAATTCCCTCTAAAGTTATCTAAGTTCAAATTCCAACTTGATGAAGCTCCCAAAAAGGACCAGGCAGGGCTTCCCTGGTGGCGCAGTGGTTGCGCCCCCCCCTGCCGAGGCAAGGGACGCGGGTTCGTGCCCCGGTCCGGGAGGATCCCACATGCCGTGGAGCGGCTGGGTCTGTGAGCCACGGCCGCTGAGCCTGCGCGTCCGGAACCTGTGCTCCGCAACGGGAGGGGCCACAACAGTGAGAGGCTCACATACCGCAAAAAAAAAAAAAGAAAAAAAAAAGGACCAGGCACTCTCCTGGGCACTTTTAAATCTGCTGAGTCATTGATCTCAATTCTCCCAGCAACACTGCCTAGCGAGTTTTATGATTCCCATTTTACAGATGAATTAATTGTAGAGAGCTGAGTACCTTACCCAACATTATCTGGATAAACTCTAGAAGGAAGGTGATAGGCAGCTCCATTCAGGGAACAATGTCTAAGCAGTCAAAAATCAAGTAATTTCATGTGCGAATCACAATTATCATCATCATCATCATCATCATCGTCATCATCTTCATTGTCAGTTTCATCATCTTCATCATTATCTTCCCTGTATTTGTTCAGCGCTGGACAGTTTGTGCAGGTACTTTGGCATCATTCTCCTTGACTTTTCACGACCCTGTGTGGGAGACAAGCCCAACATCATTACTCCTATTTTACAGATGGAGCAATAGAGATTCAAGACTGGGTGTGACCTGCTTACACAGCAGGGTTGCGACTCAACTCCATCTCTTTCCACTGCTTTCCCAGGTGCTTGAGGAAGAAAATGCCTGGGAGGGCTGGGTAGTGGGTCCCTAGGATTCACAGCCATGAAGGTCCTAGTAGATCAGCTAAATAAAGGGCAGTAAAATCAGGTGCCCTGCAGATTTAGATGTGCTCAGGGCACATCAGCCCCTGAAACAGAGAAGCAGCACAGATAACATCTGAATAGGAGACACCTGCCTCGCAACGTGTAAATAACGCATTAAGACTGGTGGCCACGGTGGTAGTCATGCAAGAAATAAGACCTCTGGAAAACAGGAGAGGAAGCTGCGTTCCTACTTGAGCCCTGCTGTGCAGTTTTGCGAGAGATACAAAAGAAGCAGGAAAGCAGTGGGATGAGAGCCTCTGCAGGATAGGGGAAGACTTTAAGACCCAGTCCGATATGTTGGCAAGGCTGGCCAAAATGAGAATTAAAACGAGGACATTCTACCTGGCCTTCAGCTCCAGCAAGCTTGCATCACCCATCCTCCTGGCACATCATCTTCCAAGAAGTCTTCCCCTACTCATGCTTCCCTGAGCTAGTCAACCAAAAGAGTGCCCGAAACTTTGCTAGACCTGGGGTACTTGAATCTTGTCTCCTCTGCATCTCACTTACAACACCTGGGTCAGAACCCCGCTCCCGTGAGAACGGGAGCAGAACTGTGCCCACTGTCTTCAACTGTGTCCAGGGACGAGCGGACCAGGGCCGCTCTCTCCACGAGTCAAGCTGACAGCCTAAAGTATTTGAGGAAGAACTTCTAGAAATAATAGTCCTGACACAAAGTTAAACCTCCCACAGAGGGACACCATATACATCTATCATAATCTCTTAGAGACTCTGGTTTGCTGAAATATAGTTAACATATTTTAAGACGTGATTTTTTTTGCATAGAACTAGACCAAACAAGTTAGCCCTTGAGATCAAATGTCCATTCTAATAATACAGTTTAGTTCCCATTAATGGCAAACCTTTCTGAGTAGGATACAGGCTTTTAAAGAACAGATGCTTCTCCAGCTACTAGAAGGTCCCCAGTTAACTAACCCACAATGTAGAAAGCACTTAACTTCCCTACCGCCAAGGAATTCGTGCTTCTCCCCTGCCCGCCACCACCACCGTCTCGTGCAGGCTATCAGGAGCAAACTTCTAGTGGTATGCTTCTAGGGATAATCTAGCAGTCCTGGTTGGAACTCTTCCCACAACCCTACTGACCGAGAACCCATGATGTTGCCCCTGCAAGTCTTCATTAGGTTTTCTCCAGACTGGTTAACACGTAAGCCTGGAGGTATCTCTGAGTCCATGTGTCTGTTCATGAGGTTCTGTGGATGTTGGGTATCTACTGATATGAGGCCAATCTCTCTGGAGCCTGAGCTCAGTTCTCTGACATGGTCTACCCAGCTGTCTGTTTACTGTATCGCCTACTACACTAAAATGGAATCCCATTAGGGTTGGGGTAGGAATAGCTGCTCAGAAAATATATGAGAGACAAGCATGTAGCTGAGGCAGCCTAATGACAGCCTGATTGCTTCTCTACCCCTCAGAGATCTGTCCTCATCACAGAAGATTTTTTAGGTAACCAACAGGGCTATGATGGTCAAGGTCTGGACCAAGAAAATTGTCCTTTAGAAAAGACCCCACATCTGTACACACCACTCTGGACAAGTTGCCTCTGGTCACCCTATGACAAACCCTCATCTGTATCTCCATTCCTGCAGGGATTCCCAGGAAACCCCGCAGAAATAGGTCCCCTGAGTTGCTGTAGAGTTTACTGGCTCCTTTCAAGGAACTTGGTGTACGGAATTTGAACAAAACAAGACAGCTGCTTCTCCATCAGGGAAGACCTAGAACCCCCCACTTTCCCTAGGGATGTCTTCGTTTATATCACTCTGACATCCTTTCCAGCTCTAGAAGAGTAAAAAATGTCACCTTTGTCCATGCCTCAAAAGAACATCTTCCCAAAGCTAGAGAAATTCATCTGCTCTCCCCACTCCAGAAGGAGGCAAAAGGGAAGTGAAGGAGGAAGTTGCAAGGTCCTTTGCAAATCACCGTCGCATTTGCCACGGCACTGGGTGGAGAGTTCTGGATGCAGAGAGCTCTCGATTGTGGAGTGCTGTTGTCTGGGGGCGGGAGGGTTAGGGCAGGGAGGGGAAAGGGAAGATGCCAACCTTTGTATGGAGATGATTTTATAACCATGCACTTTTGTAACTGTGAAGAATTTTTCATAAATGTACATTAATAAAAAAGAGTGTACAGTTTAACAAATTTTCTAAAGAGTTGTGAAGAGGAGGAAGGGGGAGGGAGGCAGAAAAAGAAAGAGAGAGAGAAAGGAGCTAGGCGGAATCAAGAGAATGTGTGCCAAAATATACACACAAAGGGCCTATGGGGAGGGTGTAGATGGGAATAATTAGGAGATGTGCCAGCCATGGAAGGGCATGTGTGGGAGTAGAAGGAACATCACAGAAGCATATTTCTACCAGGCAGAAAAGAATACACTTGCGTCTGTATGCACACACCCCTATGTGTAGGCATATTTTGGTGTCTGAAATTACACAAAGAGGAGAGCATATGTCTTATACATGTTGGTGTTTGCAGCTTGGGTCATCTGTAAAACATGCCAAGGCAAGTGGGTGTGCCTGTCTAGTTAGCATCACTAAGGAGTATGTGCTAGGGAGATGGTCCATGCCAGCCGCGTGGGCATAAGGACACTAGATCAGGCATACAGGTAAACCAGGCATCTAAATCCATGGTGTAGGACAGATGAGGTCATCACCGGTGTAGGTTCAGTCTCTGTTCTCATAGGTTAATTTTTAAAAAGGAAGGGATTCTAAACTTCCTGAGTCTTGCAAGGGTTGCCTACACATCATTAGAAATGAGATGGCTGGACAGTGTACCTTGGGAACAGAGGCAGAAAGAGAAGGAGCAAAATCTACTTCTATGTGCATGTTGGCAGCCATGGTTATCCTGGTACTCTAAAGAGGAAGTGGCTCTAA